TTAAAAGAGAAAAGGAGAAATTAGGATATTTTAATATTAAAAATATTAAAATATTTACTTATAATTATTAAATATGTGAAATATAATGTGTGTTTTAATGTTTTTAAATTTATCATATAAATATTATTAGATATCGTGGATATTTTTTTATGACAAGATACTTTGAGTTTTCCTTTTTTAATATTAAAATGAGTTTTTTTAATCTATGTCTTTGAGATGTAATAACTATACTTGTTTCTCATTAACTTCTATTGAAAAAATAAAAGTTAATATTTATTTAAGTAATTGTTTAATTAAAATGGTTTATGTGGTATTAGTGATGATGAAGAAATTAATGATAATTTTTATATTTTTTAATAATAATTAACATTAAAGAGTAATAATTATATTTTTAATTTATATTTTTAAAGTATAAATTAGATAAATTTTATTAAAAAATTAAATATTTAATTAATGTTACAAAATAGTAAAATATAACATTAAGTTTTATTTACATTTTATCTATCATATGATTCGAAGTAGTTGTTTTAATAATTTTTAATATCAAAAAATGCTGATTTTCAATTTTTTTTATTAATAAAAGAGTGGACTTTAAAACTTGCCCGTCCGTTAAGAGTTTTAATATCATATGAGTGGAATGCTCTTTATTTAAAAAGAAATGATTTTGAAATAATTTTTATATTATTTTTTGTATAATTTGACTTGTCATTTAAATAATTTATTTTTTTATTTATGTGAAATTTATTATATTAAATATATTTATTTATTCAATGATATTTAAAAATTATATTAAAAAATAATATAAAAAATTATTCCTATAATATCACTTAAAAAAAATTGAGAAAAATATATAACATGAGAAATTTTTTTTGGAAAATAAATATGCGAAATGAGAAAAAGGAAAATTGAGACTTCAATGCTAGGAATCTCATAAGGTTATTTAAATATTGTCAAATAAATCTTCTTTCTATTGATATTCTATGGATTTTTTTTATATTAATTTGTTAACGAAATTAAAATTTATTTCATTATCATTTTAAAATATTTTTACAATTTAAAAAAAAATAATCAAATTACTAAATTTGAAGATTTTTGTTACTACAGGTCTGCTTCCAAATGGGGATTTTGAGACACCTCCTTCGAGCGGCTTCCAGAGCGAGGCAAATCAGGCAATTACAGACGGTCGGACTGAGATTCCGAGCTGGAAAGCCCACGGCACGGTGGAGCTCGTCGAGTCAGGGCAGAAACAGGGCGGGATGATCCTCATCGTTCCGGAAGGAACTCACGCCGTGAGATTGGGCAACGACGCCGAGATCAGCCAGGAAATCACGGTGGAGAAGGGATCGACGTACTCGGTGTCGTTCAGCGCGGCTCGCACGTGCGCGCAGCTGGAGTCACTCAACGTGTCGGTGCTCTCCGCGTCGCAGAACATCGACCTCCAGACATTGTATAGCGTGCAAGGGTGGGACCCTTACGCGTGGGCATTTGAGGCCGAAAATGATAAAGTGGAGTTAGTTTTTCGTAACACGGGCATGGAGGATGACCCCACCTGTGGGCCCATCATTGATGACATCGCCATCAAAAAGCTTTTTACCCCTGATAGACCCAAAGGTAAAATGGAAACAAAAAATGCGGTTTGCTGTTCGTACGGTAAAATATAATTTTATAGTTTTATTTACTAAAATGATTTATCTGATCTGTTAAGTCACGTATTAAATGTCACGTTTTAAGGGGATAATTAATATTTTTTTATATTAAAATTTATAAAAAATAATATTAATTTTTTCATTAATATTAATATATTGTTTTAATTAGATAATTAATTAA